AGTATTTTTCCTTACGTTTCGATTCAATAATAGTAATTTGTTTTTGTTATCAAATTTCGATTTAAGCCCCAATTACACATTCAAAAGTGTTACTGTTGCTTTATGGTTTTGTTTTGATGGGTGTAGTCTGATATCATTGTCTAATCATCATATGATTACTTTACATTTGTATGTTTCATTAGAATCCGTAACTTGTATTGGCTGACAACAATCGCGACGCACTCCTCCAACATCATATTTTATTTCCGTATAAAATACAACAGATAATAACTGCACGTGCAATCCGTGACAATGTTAAAATAATGCATCGAAAAACAAACGAAAAGCTTTATATAACTCTTTGTTTTATGATTGTAGCAAAAAAAAAGGGTAATTATAAGAATTAAATGCTTCTTTTTACAATTTTATAGGGTTGTAAAAGCGTTGATCGTGCGCAAATTTTCCGCTTTTCGTGCAAAATGTGCATCGATCAACACTTTTACACCCCAATAAAATTATAAAAAGAAGCATTCAATTCTTAAATAAATTGCTTAGGAAGTTTTTGACTTCATTAAATGACTACAATCACGTTTATTGGTAATGCAATAGTTAGTCATAACAACTCGATCATTCCGTTGCCTAAAATAACGCCATATGCAAAAAGACGGCTTCTTAGCTTTTCTTCTTTGAAAAAATGTATGTAGTCACTAAACGGTTGAAGTAACACAATTCTTTTAAATGTGAGAAATAATACACACGGATGTCGTGCTTTTAATGGGAATTTAGTCCGGAAATCCTGATATTTCAATAAATATTGTAATTGTCAGCATGAATAAAAACCTCTTTCGACTTTTGTTAGTTCATAATTATTAGACATGTCAATAGGTATATAATCGAAGCCGAGGTTGACAAATTAGACTGTAGGGGCTGTGTCAAAACATTAATTATCGGTTTAAACCCGCGGTAAAATTTAAACCCTAGGCGTACTTGGTGTCAACTAGCTATCCTACACAGGCGGAAACCCAGTTAAAATTAAACAAAAGAAATGGAACTCTTTGTTAGAGAAGGTAAAAAAAGGCCAAGTTGGTAAATTTGAATTGTTTACATCTGTTTCTATGGGCTTTAAAAGTTTAATGAATGTGCCTAATTTAGGATTTTTTAAGTCTTATGTATGTGTTTTTACTTAAATTGTGGTATGGAGCTTCGAGATATTTGTAAACTTTTAAATTATTGACAAATTTTCACAAAACAGTCGATTGTGGCAGGTGCAAATAAATGTGTATCTTTTTTGTGCATAAACATATATTCCGCCGAAAAAAATTCCAAAGAAAGATAATAGATACATCTTTTTAAAGCATTAATTTGCATCTCTGCCCCGGCGACAGTTTTTTGGGGAAAATACACAAAATGGGCATTAATTTCATCGAAAAGAGAAAGTCGAGTACACCTTTTTATGTTGAGGCGTGTTTGAGTTGACTATTCTGTCTTGAAAACGCATTAAAGAAAAATATTTGATACATCATCTCGCTTCAGATTCTATTATTTTTATATATTTAGGCTCTAGGTTGTTATATTAACAGTAAAAATTTAACAGTATTAAAAAATGAAATATATGGGTCAAGTGAAATACCTTTCTAATGAGTCATAACAAAAGAGTAGGTATGTTCGAATAACATATTTTTACTAAAAGTACTTGACAACAGACTTTTCAAGTGGATCTTAAAAATGAATAACTTCAAAAAAACTTCATTTTGTGTGTGTGTTATTTAGGGTATTTAGTCTTCAACATCTGAAAATTTTTAGTCTGCCCTTCCACTAAATGTTTAGCTAGATTTTTTTTTAAATGTTTTTGAACTTTCGAAAATTTCCCCGACAACCGAGCAGTCAATAGTTTTAAGTTTACCAAATGCATAAAAGTACATTGAATGATGCTCAATAGCTAGGGGATACATTTGTCTTTTAAAATACAACAGGCATATTAGAATCGCAATAATACTATGTGGATAAATTTATCGATTTTCAAGAGCTAAATTGACAGTGCGTCATCACTACAATGGCTTCCATTTTTACGATTATAAAAATTAGGTGGCGTAATGGGGAGATAATTTTGAAGAAGTAGAATCCTGACTGTACACTCGTCTTGGTATTTTAAATGTTATTTAGAATGCATGTCGCAGTAAGTTAGCCATCGAACACAATATTCATTTTCTGATAGCATTATAGGACGCAAAAGGTGAACGTTTGTGTGGGGTAGGAGGTTTTATGATATTGCAAGTGTGTACTTCTAGATTGATATTTACGTAGTAAGCCAGTTGAAATTTGTTTTTTTTTATTGAGTTCGTGGAAAAGTTCAACCTGTCGCTCCACTAAACCCACACAGAGCTCTCTCGAATGTCTCCAAATGCTTCCAATGACTTTGAAGGTTTTTATCTTATAGCGTGTTTCACATTACCAGACACTCCGATAGTAGAAAGTATTTTTTTTACACTATCTTCTTTATATTCGTGGTTTAGCTCGAAGTTTAAATTTTACATGAAAATGATACAAGGGAAATTACGATAAACCGACCGTGCGAGGGCTGTATAGCCAGTCAAGGTCGCTAAAAACTTCCATCATCATAATTACGATAAACCTTAAAAAACTTTCTTTTTTAGAAAAGACGACGTAATAGGCAAACTAACTAGAAATGACAATAAAAGGGTATGGTTTTTTGCACTTTTTGAACGCTGACATTAAGGGCTCAGAGTGACCTAACCAGATTGAACGGATCAGAAGAAAAGGCCAAAAATAACGAAGCCTCCGTCAAGAATAGGGGAAATTAAGAGACAAAGTCAAACCCGAGGACAACAAAATAAAACAAACTCCACGCTGAAACTAGAGACAAACAAAAAACACGGACCCCGTAAAAACTAGAGCAAACATTCTTATACTGTAGTATCTTCTCTGAAACTACAATCCAACATGCGTGAGTTTGAAACTGGATAAAAATATAGGTATTATAGGTCCTTCAAAACAATCCCAGTTGAATAGAAAATACGGATGCTAGCAGAGATCAAATTTACATATACTCAGCTCTTTCTTGATTGCCATACATAACAGATGTAGTGAAAAGAAACAAACATTTCAGATATATTCCCGAGACGGAGTAGGTATTACGCAGACTATTACACCTTAAATCATTCGCAAGGAGTGTTAGGTGCTCATTGGGCTTTGGATGTGTCATATTAGTCATATGTACATGTACATTTTTGCCGAAAAATCACGGTTTTAACTTCCGAAAATCTGCAAAAAATCCGAAATCAATCCATAAAAGGAGGTACACATGTTCTATGCATATAATACATTGTGCAAAGTTTGAAAGCTCGTGATCATAAACGTGAGAGGAGACAGTCAAGCGTTGTGTGCAGCCCGTTTAGAAGTTCTGACATTGAGTAAACACCCCCTCCTTTTAATGTTAAAAGGTCCGTCGCTATTTATTTGGGGAAAAAACACAAAAATTATTTCAAATGTTTAAATCTTTTACTGATATGGGTGGATAGCGGATTTGTTTCTCTCACCCCGACTAACTCTCGGTTTCCCTTCTCCCCATTCTAATTGATCCATTTCCTTTCTGCAATCCCTTCGGCCCTGATAGTCAACGTTCCAAAATGGAAGAAATGTTATGGAATTTATAATGTTTGCTCCTCACGGGATAAATGTCATGGAATATTCATTGCATAAGGAACATTTATAATGATAGTGCCTATAATAATGTTTCCAAAAGGACATCTGTTATAAGGATCAAATATACGTTGACATCAGTACCATACAATCGAATTGATACACTGGTAATTTATATCTTGAAATCTCTTGTGTTCTGATACGATACCCATGTATATTTATTTAAAGCCTAATTGTCAACCTCAGCGTCGAGTATGTACCATTTCGTAACACGTCAAATATCAATAAAAGAAATATGACTTTTTATATAAAATCACCCTAAAAAATGATAAATACATACATAATAAATAAATTCTGAAATAAATTAATGAAAAGTGATTACATAATATTCCAATTAGTAAGCTTGTCTTCTTGGTTGTTTTAAATGCATCATGCATGGCTTGTTTTGTAAATGCATAAATTCATCGACGAAAGGAAGTTAAAAGTAGTCATATGTTGGACATTGAAAATTATGTGCTTTGTGTCTGTCCAAAGTAAGAAGTAATATTACTGTTTACATTATAAATCAATTGCATTTCAATATGTTGAAAAAAGGTTTCATACAAGAACCAGAAAAAGGACATTTTGTTTAGTTATTGCAAAATTTGGAATGCTCATTCGTCACCTTTGACCCTCAGGGATAATTTAACAGAAATGATTAGCATGATTGAAGACCAGCCAAATCAGAATTATAATATGACCATATGTTCGGTGGTTGCATTCAAGTGTCGTTTAAAAAAATGTCACTCGCCTATTAAAGATAAAAAAAATTGATATATATATAAGCTTAAACAATACCAGGTTTTTAAAAGTTTAAAGAGCAAACGGATATTATACACACGCTGTGTTAAAATATAAAAATAGCCACGATTTAGGTTACCTGGTTTTATACACTTTGTAATAAGTGTACATACATGTGTTTGTTGCTAACACAAGAGAGAACATTTGGTCAGCGAGAAAGCGGGAAATATTGGGAGGGTAGAGAGTATTTGCAAATTTAATGGAAGACAGGTGGGAGGGAATTTGTTTAAGGGTGAAGATAAGGCGAATGGGTGTTGGAGGGTTGGGTTGACATTTGCAGTGTCTGTTTTCAGTTATCTCGTGTTGCGATTTATACTTAAGCACTTCAGTGAGCCAATTTGTGTTTGTCTCAATATCAGTTCAGTCATCAGCTTTATAATATACAATGGGAAATTACATTGTATTGTTTAATATAAATACTGTATGGTACCAAATCTAAAACATTGATTAATAAAGACAATCGATCTAAATAACTGATAAGGATGACAGACTTGTACAAATAGTAAATACATTTCACTTACCGTATAAAAAATATTGAACTGACGCTTAACATAGAAGGGTCATCTCAAAGTTGAATAAAATAATTATTTAAAAGTAATACATACTCGAGATACTAGTTCGTGATTGGATAACTGGTTATTCGAGAACGATAGAAAAGTAATTTCTTTCGACTATGGTGAAAAAGTCAATAGTTTGTTTACTTCGGGTAACATATTATTTAAAAGTTATTTTGGAACAATAATTGCAAATTCTTTCAAGTACATCTGTAATTATTCCACTGTGTTCTTGCATGTGTATTTTTATTTGAAAGTATATCTGAATGAATATTGTTTAAACTAGCGGATTGTTGAGTGCCTCTTTTCCAACTCAAACATCACAAAAATGGCAAATTCGTAAGCCATCGGTATGTCACGGAATAGAAGTTCCTTCATAATATAAGTTCCAAATGGAAACAATATTCTGGAATATTATTTCCACTGGAATAAATATTACAGTAAATGTTCCAAACGGAATAAATGGTATAGAATATTTGTTCCAACAGGAACAGATATTATGACATTGTTTATAACAAAGTTTCCAAGGGAACTTCTGTTAGGCGGAACAAATATACGCGTTGACAGGTACATGTGATATATGTTATCCCATAGATGTATAAGTCTCATCTGATGTAGTTCATCCCGATTTTAGTTTTATAATAAGTTGATATGAAAACAGTGGTTTCCTTGACAAAAGGTAGACAAGAATGATACCTGAAGAGACATCAATATACATAACGAAAAATAAGATGGCACAAAATACAATAGCGAAAATAACGAATTAAAGCCGCTTCAAAACTAAACCCAGGTTGAACTACCTCAGATGAGACTTCACACTGAGGTCATCATTCATTTAGCATATGTTTGTGAGCACTAAATCATGTCGTTATTGGTGACATTTACAAGATAAATCAAATTAGTTTCACGTGATCTTTTTAAAAAGAAGCATGCTTAAGTGGATAAACGATATTCTGTTGATCAGTATAGCTCACCAGATGGATAGTTACAATATGTTCATGCATCATAGCTCTGGTTCCTTGGCTTTACCGTGACATTTGGACCTTCTTTTTTTTTTTTTACCTTTCTAGTTTTATCATCTTTCTAATGCTTTTATTAGTTATTGAACTTTCATATATCATTGTCTCGAGTACCACTGAAGAGCTATTCCTTATCGAAATGCGTCTGGTGCAGTGAAATTGGTACCTTTAGTGTTATTTCTTAGATGCAAAATCACAGATGATCACAGATATGTTCCAATTGCCGAAAGCACAATCACGCCCGCTTTTCCACGATTGTAACATGGATGACCGAATTTGTACTTAACATGAGCGATTTTACAGGTGCTACTCGTGGAGCAGGATATGCTGATCCTTTTGGGAGCACAAGAGTTCACCCGGTGGTATTGTGTTCCCCAAATCTGTTCAGTCTTAACTTTTACATATGACTAAAAAAATGTGTTAATATTAAACACCAATGATAAAGCAACCTACGAAGATCCACTAAACAAAACAGAAACATATTTTAAATATGCAATTCCTTGCCTAGAGTCTATACAAAAGAATACATTTCTGGGACCTTGCAATTATCTCACCCTGACAAAATATATTCTAGTCAGACAAAATCTTGAGGTACGCCAACTGAAACTAAGGGAATAATCCCAGCTTGTGACATAATGACATGGAGGGGTTACACTAGTTGTTATTTTACTGCTCATGATCACACTCTAATCATTACACCCATTGCAAAAAAAAATATATATAATTACCAAAAACTGAGAAATTTCACAAAACTAATTATTTCAGGGGCAATAACACAAAATTGGGTTGTCTGATTTGCACAGTCTGAAAATGTTGAATCCATAACGATCTTGACCTGCTGATCATTTTTACCCTGTCAGTTTTGCTCGAACTGCTTTAGATTGAGATATGACAAAAACTGCATTTTACCACTATGTTTTATTCTTAGCCATGGTGGCCATGTTTGTTTTCAGACTGGAATAAAAAACATTAACTTTAAACTAGATAACATACGGATCATTCGTCCTGACAGACGCCAAGTGATGGCAATAGCTCACATGGCCCTTTGGGTCCAGGTGAGTAAAAAAAGGGGGAAATCCATATAACCTTACAAAATCAAACGCTCGACTGTATCAACCGACAGAATAAATGGAAAACAACTGTCATATTCCTGACTTGGTACAGACATTTTCCAAAAAAAAAAATGGTGGGTTAAACCGGGTTTTATAGTTAGCTTAACCTCCCACTCTCGTGTTAGTTGAAAAGCATAGAATTTAGATTAATAAAATGTTAACACAGAGATATGTCTCACCTTTTTGTTATTTTGATAGTAAAATGCAAATGTTGAAATTAAAATATTAATACTTTAACATGAAAATTATTCAAAATATTCAAAGTTAATGAACCATGACTGAAGGTACATGGCCAAACAATCTCCATGGAAATGAGATTCTACAACTACATACCAAATATCATTGACTTATCATAAGTGGTTCTCCTTAAACTGACCTAATCACCAACTTTAACATGTAAACTAAGCAAAAGTGTCAATAGACCATGACTGAGGAGGTCGGGCCAAATAACCTTCATGGAAATGAGATGTGCTAATGCTAATACAACTGCATGCGAGACAAAAATTAGTCAGAAAATGTTTTAAAATATAAAAAACATACAAATAAGTATATTATTATAATCATTAAAATGTTGCAAGAAAATAGTGCTATCAAAGTAGTGGAAAGATTGGAAGAGTATTTTTTATCATTTCAAATCACATTCTTTTTAATTATTGTGGTGTGGTGTGGACAAAAAATTTAATATAACATTATTACATACAGTTGCGTTTACCACAGTCCTATAGATGGGTAAGCATTTTGTTCAGTGAAAAATTAGCTAATTGTGAGTCAATATCAGTGGATCCCTGAATTTGAACAATATTTTCTTGAATTGAAGTTCATAATAAAGATTCTTCTAAAAATATTTATCAATTATCCTTTTAGAACATGAGATTAATAGATAACACTTGAAACTGGAACCTTGTCTATGAAAATTAACTTGTAAATGGTTGTTTTGGAGGCATTTGCAAGTATAAACATAAGCATATTTTTCACCATTATAAAGTTTCTTATGAAATACTACATGAACAATTTCAATACATTTTATTTCTTTAAACAAATATATGATGATAATCTTCACATTAAAATTAGGAGATGTCACAATGATAGTTTTATTTGAGTAAATTTTCACTAGCTTTTATTTTTTGTTTAATAGAAATGAAAGTTTCATTAAATAAAATTCAGAAAGGAACGGGGAATGTGTCAAAGAGACAACTCGACCAAAGAGCAGAAAAAAGCCCAAGGCCACCAATGGGTCTTCAACATGAGAAAATCCTGCACCTGTAGTCAACATCTTACATCTTTCCTGTTCAATAGATTATGCTTGATTTTACTTTGCTTACAAAAAGCTAGGTTTTAAAAGATCTCAAACTTGTATTTATGATCTAAGTAGCAAATACCAATTATCCAGTATCCCGATACAGCATTAACATTTAAGATTTATCAGCTATTAATTTGTAAATATTCCTAAAATATATTGGCCAATGCCTTAACACAGACTACTGATTATGATCAAGTGGTAACAAATCAACATTGAATGTCTGCTATCACCAGAGTCCAATTAAGGGGAAGGGGCCCTTTTTCAAAATCTGGATCCCCATCTGATCTAGATAAGTCTACACCAAGATTGCTCAGAACCAATATTAGGAGTAGTCCATAGAGGATAAGTATATCAGGAGGTATATATGATTAGAAGCAATAACATCTGACTTCATATTGCCTTAGGGAGTTGGAAAAAAAATAATTCTAAAATATTATAAGTTATTACCTTATCAAATAAACTGTTAACACAGAGATATGTCTCGCCTATTTGTTATTTTGATAATGCAAATGTTGAAATTAAAATAGCAATACTTTTACATGTAAGTTATGCAAATATTCAAAGTCAATGAACCATGACTGAAGGTACAGGGCTAAACAATCTCCATGGAAATGAGATGTGCCAATGATAATACAACTGCATATCAAATACCATTGACTTTTCATAAGTCGTTCCCTTTATACAAACCTGAACACAAACATTAACTTGTAAACTATGTAAAAGTTTCAAAGTCAATAAACCATGATGAGGGGGTGGGGCTATATCATCTCCTTGGAAACCATACTTGCAGATGCCAATAAATTTGCATACCAAATATCATTGACTTAACATTAGCAGTTTATCTTAAACTGATCTAATCACAAACTAATACATGTAAACTAAGCAAAAGTTTCAAAATCAATAGACCATGACTGAGGGAGTGGGGCCAAATATTCTCCATGGAAATGAGATGTGCTAATGCTTATACAACTGCATACCAATCAACATTGGCCTTCCACTAACGGTCCCCCTTAAACTGACCTAATCACAAACTAATACATGAAAACTAAGCAAAAGTTTCAAAGTCAATAGACCATGATTGAGGGGGCAGGGCCAAATAATCTCCATGGAAATGAGATATGCCAATGCTTGTACAACTGCATACCAAATATCATTGACCTACCACTAGTGATTCCCCATAAACTGACCTAATCACAAACTAATACGTGTAAACTAAGCAAAGTTTAGAAGTCAATAGACCATGACTGAGGGGGCAGGGCCAAATAATCTCCATGGTAATAAGATGTGCCAATGCTAATACAACTGCATACCAAATATCATTGACCTACCACTAGTGGTTCACCATAAACTAGACCTAATAACAAACTAATACATTGTTGATGCCGCCACCTGAAACAGCATACCTATGTCTTGCTTTTTGACTCCGTCAAGGCGAGACAAAAACTATCCTAAGGATGTTCGCTACTCTTGTTTTTGACTTTTTGTCAGATATTCAGAATCCTCTAGTTTTATCCATGTAGTGCCAATAAATATTTTGCCCGCCAACCCCCACTTTTCTTTCCATAATTTTATTACAT